GTACAGCGTTGGTCGGAAGAGCTCGACGAAGTGATCGACGCCGTGCATCGGCGCCACGGAGAGTAGCAAGACTCGTCGTAGGCCTCAAGAGTGCAGGAGCTAAATTGGTAACCGTTAGGGCACGGTCCACGTTAGGCAACCTGCATGGTGTTGGGGTTGCCGTACCCACAAATGGCGGCCTCACTGCTGCCTAGGATGCAGTGGAGGACGTTGGGGTGACGGTGCGTCAGGCGGGCAGCTCACGCCTCCGCTCGGCGATGAGAAACTTCAGCTTCTTGCTCGGTTTCATAGATGGCAGCCGGTTGAACCGGAGCTTGAAGTTTTCAGGGGACACGTTAAGGGTGAAGTAGTGTGCGACCATAAGCACATTGACGGCCAGTTGAAGGTCCATCCACCGGGAACCCAGGCAATTGTGCGTGCCCAACCCTAGTGCGTGTACCCCGCTTTCCGCCGCGCGGTGTTCATCGCGCGAAGGTAGATAGCGGTCGATGTCGACTATGAGGGGTCGGGCTGGCAAGAGCGTCGCTCATGTAGGCGAGGCGGTCTGGCAATTACGTACGACCTTTGCATCCAGCACCGGCAACTCGTAATCCTCGACCACACACGAATTCATCACGTGCGCGCATGGCACATGCGGCCAATGAGGGTACATACTGCAGCATCCATCAGGATCGGATGTGTGACGTCGACTTGAGAGGGGTGTAAATCCTCGCCTCCGGTCGCCGTGCCGAGAGGGCGTCGGTTCTTCTTCAGCTTGGATTTTGGCGTAGATTTCAGGCTGCGACGCCATGGCGATACAAGGCGAAGCTAAAGGCATCTCCAAGGTATGCGCTGGCTACCAGAGCTGCAGTAAAAGCGAACCGCAGGTTCGATTTGGGTACGAACTGCGGATCGCTCGCGTGCAGGCTTAGATAGTCGTCCACCAGGTTTCGGTGTGCTCCGGCTCGCTGGGCGGGGGTATGTACGCTCTGGATTCGTTCAAGCAACGTTGCGATGGTTTTCGCGCGGCGCCTCATGCCGGGAGTTTCCATCATGAACTTGGGCAGTATCTTCACATGTGGACGCTGAGCGCCCGTTCCTTGAACTTCAACAGGTCGTCGATGATGTCCTGGTGTCAACGCCGACCATAAGGGGCGAAATTTGAGCGTTTATCATTCGCCGGCTCATGCCCGTCGCAGGGTAGGAGTCCCCAACCTTCCAATGGACAATGTTTCCCGCTCACGGTCATAGAGTTCGTCCAGCTGCTCCGCTAGTCTTTTACGGGAATAGGCCGACGACAAGGACTTGCGGATCCGAAAATGATCGGCGCCATCCAGGGCAGGCAATACCCCGGACGCGCCATAGGCTTTCTCGAAATCGGCAAAATAGTCCCTTGCCCTCAGGTACATGCGCCTGAGCCGATACACCCATTGATTTGTCTCCGGGCCGCCCAGGAATATCATGGGTTTAGCAAAGGGAGGGCTGATCTGAAACACCGCAGCATACTCTTCTGTAAGATCGGCAAAGAGCGCGGGAACGTTGCCTTTGCGGAGGCGTGGATTAAACAGCAACTTCCGGAGGAAGGCAGTCGGAATGTTCTTGGTCAGAGCTGAACGTCGAAGCAGTGGCCCGGCGAGGTTGTGGAAGACTGCAGCAGCGATAGAGCGACCGATCAAATCCATCTTGCAGATGAACCGAATGCGCTCGTCTGCTTGGTCATCAAGTTGAAACATGAAGCGAAAGACGTCGCACGTGTTGATGAGGCAGATAATGATGACATCTCTCGGGTCTGGAATCTCGTTGTTGAAAATCGCATTGGTGATTCGGGTTTTGACAATTATGACACCAAACATAGAAACAACCACCGCAGTGTCTTCTGGGGAGTCGCTGAACAGTCCCGTCTGCCAGGCAGTACGAGATAGTGTCCAGAATTCGCCATCGTGGTGTTCCAGGACCTCAGGTCAACTAGGCGGTCGAGAGTCAAATCATGACCGGCTCCGTGAGAGGGGCGAGCCGTTCGATCCAGTATTGCGTGTTCCTTCGGACCGGTTCGGCTGCAATTACCTTCAGGATGGGGTCCAGAACTGGGTTGCCCGTTTCTGTCTGGTCCACGAGGAACAGGGATTCCTGATCCGTGTCGATGCGAGCTAGTAGTTACAGTTCTGCCAGCACAGCACCGACGACGGCACAGTTCAAATGTCAGCCCGGAACCTGGTGGAAGTAGCCGCTCTCCTTGTTGAGGAGCATCAGGATGAGTTCTTGGTCAAGCGGTTAGCGCATTGGGTTTGTTTTGGTCGCCACATCCTCTTTGGGAAGAGTCATAGCTTTCGGTCTCCGTGCCTAATCTCTATACCCAAATCCCGCTTAGCAACTGTGTTGGGGGAGGGGTATTGGGAGGTGTGGGAGGAGTGATTCCAGGAGGCTCCGTCTCTGATCATGGCATTGAATGCATGTGGCAGTGTTACGCATGTGTCGCGACTCAGGCCACACCTCTTCCCGACTTGTGCCGCTTGTTTTCAAAGCCAACTGCTCATAGAAGGCCTTGATAGGAGGGTTGTGGACTCTGGCGCTCATGGTGGCCATGTAGAGGGCGCTTCTGATGTTGGCCCGACCGCCCCATATGGAACGTCTTCCCCTATGACGACCACTGTCCCTGTTCAAGGGAGCGACACCGACAAGGGCGGCGATCTGCCTGCGGTTGAGGGAGCCGAGTTCGGGGAGAGCGCCGACGAGGGTGAAGGAGGAAACGGGGCCCACGCCGGGGACATTTCTGAGGAGGAGGAGCTTGTCCTTCCAGAGGATGTTGGAGTTAATGAGGTCGTCTATCTCGCGGTCGAGGTCATCCAGTTCTTGAGAGAGGAACTGGATGTGTTTGTGGAGGCTTGGGAGAAGAGGGTCGAGGGCGCGCTTGAGGCGAAGGGACTCGGCGGTTCTCATGTCGATGAGCTGCTTTCTGCGAGCGAGGAGGGCCTTGAGATGGGCAGCCTGGGGGTCTGGGAGGGGGCGGGCATCGGGTCTGAGGGTGAAAGCGAAGCGGGCGATGGTGTGGGCGTCGATGGCATCGGTCTTGGCGAGTCTACCGGTGGAGCGAGCGAAGTCCCTGATCTGTCTAGGGTTCATAACGGCAGTGGGTAACTGATGGAGGCCACACTCCAAAGCGAGAGGCCTCTCGAGGCCACCGGTGGCCTCCATGACAATGAGGCTGACATTGAGGTCCTTGGCCAATTGACAGATGTCTCTGATACCCTGAGGGTCGTTAGGGAGCCTGGCGGCCTGGTTTTGGGGGAGGACGTGAAGGTCGAGGAACTGACCACCGACGTCGATACCCATGACAGAGTCTTGACTCATGTTATCCCTTTCTTGCAGGTACGGGTTGTTTGACCCGGGCAACTGTACGGGCTTAGATGAGAGAGGGTGCGGCGGCACATGCTAAGGCTCGGTCTTGAAGGACCACGATTCCTACGGCCTGCCGCACCCGGACTCCGTAACTCTATCACCGTTGCGTCACACAAGGATTCCTGTAACTAAGATCAGCATACATTCCGGCCGAGGAGAGGGCCAAATGTCCGATCAGAAGCGGATGTGCGGCGCACATTGGCAGCATGCTAAGAAACGCCTCCGGGCTGAAGCGGCTCCGACGGACAGGAACGGTCGTTGAGCTGCTTGATGTGTGGATCGGTTAATCGTTCTCTGCTACAACGCCATTAGTGCTCACGCAGGTAGATGACCCGCGCACGTACCCCGGAAGGTGTCATCGGCAAGGCTAAGATATGGGCGCCTTGACCGGCACGATGTATCGTCACATCTCTGAAACAACGCATGCGTACCCGGGTGGGATGGACAAACGGCTTTCGCACTCTAGGCGGGTGTCTTGGCCGGCTAGGAAGCCGTCGCCCCGAGATTCCGTGTCAGGAGTGTCGAACGATGACATCCCAGCGAAGGGAGCCTGCGAACGCACCTCTGCCTCCCCTGTTTCCCGAGGCTGGTACTTCATTGCAAGTCGCCTCGACGTACTGAAGGCCAAGCTCATCCAAAAGACTTGGATGGGGGAGAACATCGTCGTCTGGTGTGACGACAACGGGCGAGTCTGTGTCGCCGAGGCCGTTTGCCCGCACCTGGGCTCTGATCTGGGGCCTGCCGCAGGGGACGCATATGTGGTGGACGGCTAGTCTGCCCCTTCCACGGCTTTGAGTTCGATGCAACCGGCCAGTGCGTAGCCGCTCCCTTAGCCCCTCCACCTAGATCCGCTAGGTTGCGAGTTTTCGAAACACAGGAACTTTGCGGCCTGATATTCGCCTGGTGGGGAATCCGGGGACGAGCGCCGCAATGGAGACTGCCCGCGGATCAGCGGAACGAGCCGGCTGGAGCAACCTCGAGATCCGGACATTCCGCTTTCCCGGCCATCCCCAGGAAACAACGGAGAACTCAGTGGATTTGGCCCACCTTCGCCGCGTCCACGGCTACGACAGTGTGAGACGCATCGAGCCAATATCGGTGGACGGGCCGTGTCTCGAGAGCCGCTTCGACTTCAGGAGAACCCGGAAGATCGCCGGAATAGCGACCCTCACGCTTGACTTCTCCACCAGCACGCGTGTCTTTGGGCTGGGCTACTCGTTCGTTGAGTTCCGCGAGTGCTCGATCGGCATGGATATGCGTCTGTGGGTACTGGCTACGCCTGTCGACGGCGTTCTAATCGATTTGTCGCTGGTCTCGCAGTGCGGGAGATACGTAACCCGAGACGATGGATTGCAGGCCTGAGGTTTCTCCCGCTGAGGCTGCGCGCGCCTATCATGACCAAGTTCATGGCGTCTCAGCAACATAAAGGATGTCATGCAGGATGTGGTCATCTGGAGCCGTAAACGGTACCAACCCAACCCCGCTCCTCTGCGATTCAGACGGCGAAATCATGACCTATCGCGCCTATTGTGCCCAATTCTATCCCGGTTGCAGACCGTCAGCGAATATGGGACACCAGAGGGGGTAGAAAAACCCTAGGGAATTGAGGTGAGGGTGCTGATGCCCTACGCGTAGCTCTTTTGAAGCTGCGCTTGCTGACGGGCGACACTCCATGGCATGCGTTTGAAATGGCGGCCCAGGCCCCGCTCAATCTCCCGCCACTTCCGCTCTTCATCCGAAGTAATAAGCGTCACCGCCTCGCCGGAGCGGCCCATTCGGCCAGTTCGGCCGACCCGGTGTGTGAAGAGCAGCTTTGTGTCCGGCAGGTCATAGTTGATGACCTGTTCGATGCCTTCGACGTCCAGCCCTCTGGCCGCGACATTCGTTGCAACCAGGATTGGGGTGTCGCCGGAACGGAAGTCCTTCATCACACGCTCACGGGCGTTTTGGCTGAGGTTGCCTTGAAGCGCTCCAACGGGATAGCCCATGCCGTCGAGTTGTTTCGCCAGCTTCTTGACGCCGTGCTTGGTCTTGCCGAAGACAATGACCAGAGCGCCGCGCCGCTCGTTCAGCAGGTCTTGGAGAACCTCGATCTTGTCGCTCTTGCGGATGGTGTACACAAGGTGGTCCACCGTAGGCAGGGATTGCAAGTCTGAGTCCACCTCGACCGTTACGGGGTCTTTCAGGTGCTTGGCAGCGGTCTTGGCAACCCACTCAGGCATCGTGGCAGACATGAGTGCGGTTTGGCGTTCCGAGGGAGTCTTTCCAAGGATCGCCTCGACATCGCGGGCGAAGCCTCTGTCCAGCATCTCGTCGGCTTCATCCAGCACCATGAATCGCACGGACCGCAGGTCGAGGGTGCCTTGGCGTACATGGTCGAGGGTCCGGCCCGGCGTGCCGATTACTATGTGGACGCCGTTCTTCAACGCTGTGTGCTCCGGCCTTAAAGACCGGCCGCCGTACAGTAACGTGACTCGGAGGCGTCGCGTCGATGCCAGGGCTGCTGTGACTTTGGCCACCTGAATGGCCAGCTCCCTCGTGGGAACCAGCACAAGCGCCTGAATCTTCCGGACTGATGGGTCGCACTGCTCCACCATAGGGAACGCGAACGCAAGGTCTTGCCGGACCCGGTGCGTGCCTGGCCTATAAGGTCGCGTCCCTCCAGCAGGTGCGGGATCGATTTCTCCTGTATGGGCGTGGGTTCGGATATGTCCATCCGTGCAATCGCCTGCCTGGTAGCGGCCTTCAGGGCCATTCCGGGAAATACGGAATCCACGGCGGTGCGATATCATCGCGGGATTCATACTCCGTCACCGGTTCGTTCACGGGCGTCTTGGCCGCGGCCCGGGGGGAGCGACGACGGGACTGGAAGCAAGGGCCGCAGTACACCGGCCTGTCGGGCCGTGGCAGGAAGGGGACCGAGGTGGATGCGTTGCAGTCGGTGCATACTGCCGTGTGGCGAATCGTATGGTCGGGTTTGCGGGCGCGGGTGGTCATGGATGTGGATGGCATGCGGAAATCAGGTACCTCTTTTGGGTGGGTTGAAATAATGAGCCGGCGTTGGTTGGGGAAAACAATGCGGTGGGGCAGATGATAGCCCACTTCCCAATAAGACGAGGTGCGCCGGTCACGTGCGTTGACATATTGTAACAGAAATTCGGTGATCGGTTCCTGGGCGGCTTGCGCCGCCACACATCGCCGGCATTCCGGGGCCCGCCTAGTCTCGAGCCCGGGCTCCGTCGCGGCGCTTGCGCTTGCGGTCCACGGAGGAGAGCTCCATCTTGCGTAGCCGCAAGTTCTTGGGAGTGACCTCCACGAACTCGTCATCTGCAGTGAACGCCAGCGCTTCCTCAAGACTCATCTTCACGGTGGACTTTAGGCGTTTCGTTATGTCGGCCGTTGAAGAACGCATGTTGGTCAGCTTCTTCTCCTTGCAGACGTTGATCTCTATGTCGTCACCGCGGGAATTGGAGCCTACGATCATGCCGGCGTAGACCTTGGTGCCGGGGTCGATGAACGTGTCGCCCTTCCCTGGGCGATGAGCAGACCATAGGTGACGGCAACGCCGCCCTCGGATGCGACAAGTACGCCGCTGCGCTGGTCTGAATTTCTCCTTCCATCGGTTCGTACGAGGTGAAAGATACTGCTCATCACCCCGTCGCCCCGCGTTGCGCGGAGAAAGAAAGCGTTGAATCCTATAAGTCCTCGGGTGGGAATCTTGTACTCCAGGTAGACGTAACCGTCCTCGGCGTAGCGTATGTCCCTGAGCTGGCCCAAGTTGGCGGAAATGTTTTGGTCAGCACGCCCACGTACTCTTCGTGGGTGGTGATATTCAAAATCTCCCAAGGCTCGTGTACCTTGCCTGCGATGACCTTGGTGACGGGAGCGGGACGGGACACTGGAATTCGAACTGCTCACGGCGCATGGTCTCGACCAGGATGGACAGGTGCAACTCTCCCCGTCCGGAGACCACGAACACGTCGGGGCTGGAGGTGGTTTCCACCCGCAGGCTTACGTTGGTCCGCAGCTCTCTCATCAGCCGAGCGTAGAGTTGGCGGGAGGTACAGTGTTCTCCCTCTATGCCCATGAAAGGTGAGGTGCTGACGCCAAAGGTCATGCGCACTGTCGGTTCGTTGATGTCTATGGAAGGTAGGGCCTGCGGGTTTTCGAGAGAGGCGATGGTGTCGCCTATGGACACGCCTTCAGGGCCGGTGATGGCAACGATGTCGCCGGCATGGGATTCGGAGACTTCAACCCGCTCCATTCCGCGAAACACAAATATGCGCTCCACAACGTGGGAGGTGGGCTCGGCGTTGCGTCCCAACAGGGCCACATGGTCGCGCAGTCTGAGTGTGCCGTTGGTAATCCGTCCGACAGCAACTTGTCCGAGATAGCTGTCGTAATCGAGCGCCGCAACAAGCATTTGCAGTGGGGCGCAGCTGTCCCCGGTCGGAGGGGGCACCGAATTGAGGATGGCTTCAAAGAGAGGTTGCATGTTCAACCCAGGCTCGTTCAGGCTCGTTGTGGCGTAACCGTCCCGTGCAGATGCATAGAGCACGGGGAAATCTAGCTGATCCGCGTTGGTTGCCACCTCCAAAAACAGGTCCTGGACCATGTCTACCACCTCAGCTGCCCGGGCCTCGGGTCGGTCTATCTTGTTGATGACCACCATGGGGGTGACGTTTTGCTTGAGGGCTTGGCGCAGCACGTAAGTGGTCTGGGGCATGGGTCCGTCCACGGCGTCTACGAGCAACAGACAGCCGTCGGCCATGTTCATGACACGCTCCACCTCGCCGCCGAAGTCTGCGTGGCCCGGCGTGTCGATGATGTTGATCCTGATGCCCTCGTATGAAACCGAGGCGTTCTTGGCCAGAATCGTGATGCCGCGCTCTCGCTCCAGTTCGTTGGTGTCCATAATTAAGGTCCTACCTGCTGGTGGGCGCGGAAGACATGGCCTTGTTTTAGCAGCGCGTCGACCAGGGTAGTCTTGCCGTGGTCGACGTGGGCTATGATGGCCAGATACGGATATCGCTGTTCTGATGGTCACTCAAATTTATTTCCTCAGGGACTGTCATAGAGCATTCTTCAAACTGGAAATTGTAGTACAGTTTTGCCTAGGCCGCCCCGGATGGAGGCGACCCTTGCGTCGGCATGAATGGGTTGTGAGCAGCCCGCGACTTGATGGTTAACTCGCAGATCCTCGTATCGAGCGGCGACGCGACGTAGCCGTAGGACCAACGTCGAAACTATCCGTATGCCCCAGCACTTGGGATATGTAGGTAGACCGCATGTGGCCACACGGGGTTCCAAGTTGTGCTCGGCCCGATCCCGGCGCAGGACCTCCATCGTCGTAGTGCGTGCGAACCAGCCGTGACCCTTATCGATGGCTCGAAGGGCCGTCATTCTCTACTCATTGCCCACGTCGGGGACAGTCTCATGGGAGCGTGTGACAACGCTGAGGTCGCCCTGAACGGGCGAGTAATTAGTACAGTACGTTTTGGTACCCCCGGCGGGACTCGAACCCACGCTTCCAGCTCCGGAGGCTGGCGCTCTATCCTCTGAGCTACGGGGGCGTGCCTAAAGGATAGTCCTGCTCACGGGTGGGCGCAAGGATGGTACAGGCATCAATGTCCTGCCACTGGGCAGTCTAACAACCCTTTGCCTCAGGCCTTAGGCTTCCGAGAACCCACTCCTGATGGCTCACTCTTCTTCTTCTCTTCAGCCTGTTGCTCGGACGGAGTGGCGAGAGCATGAGGCAGGATTCGTCCTTCCAGGCTCGCTCGAATCCCGGCCTTGTCACCGGAGAAGAGCGGTTGAAGCGCGAGAGGCGCAGCAGGGTGGTCACTATAGTCATGAAGACCGTAACCCCGAAAAGCTCGCCCCCGATTACCCCCTTGCTTAGGCCGATGCCGGCAATGATTAGCGCACCTTCGCCCCTCGGAAGCATCCCAAACCCTATCCTGGAGGCGCCCAGCCTGTTGAATCCCAGACCCAGGGCAGGAAGACCGGAGCCAAATACTTTGGATACGATGGCCAAGGCTGAGAGAACTAAGCCGAACACAATTACCCCTCCGAATAGGGTCACGTCCACCTGCATTCCCTGCACTACGAAGAAGATGGTGACTAGGGCGTCGTGCAAAACCACGAAAGGAGGGTCCAATCTGCGTTCCCCGCTTTCGGCCCCTTCCGGGAATGTACGAGCACCTCAGCAAGCTTGGTGCCTGAAAGCGCGAGGCCGGTGGCGTATGCCCCGATGATAAAGGCAGGCCAAAGCTCTCTGCGAGCCCGGAAGATAGCAGCGCGAGACCTAGCGAAATCACGATCGCCGCTCCCGTTACCTTTAGCGACAGGATGAACTTCGATAAATACTTGGAGACCAGCAACCCTCCCCCGAACCAGACGACCAGAAAACCCGCGGCCTTCCCTCCTACGATCAGTATGTCAGTGATAGAAACTGCGCCAGTATCGGCAACGCCCACGGCCAAGGTGAGGATAAGAATGCCGAGGATGTCGTCGATGACGGCGGCCGCCAGGATGGTGACCCCTCCGGCGTAGCGAGTTTCTTCCTTTCGCTCAGGACGCGGGCGGTGATGCCTACAGAGGTCGCGGTCATGGCGGCGCCCATAAAGAGGGCCTCAGCGCTGCCTATCCCGTCTGCATAGCCGAACATGATCGTCGCGACGACGCCCAAGATGAAGGAGCGATGACGCCGCCGAGGGCGATGACCAAGCCCGGTTTCGCGTAGCGCATGAACTGCCCTAGGTTCGTTTCCAGGCCAACGAAGAAGAGAAGGACAATAACCGCGATCTCCGATATGGAGAATAGCTCTAGGCTTATGGCCTCGGTCGGAATGTCAGGCTTTGGGAAAAAGGGTTCCAAGACCCGAGCCGGGAATAATCTTGCCCAGGTTTATGTAGTTGCCAAGGGCGTATGGGCCTATGACCACACCTATCAGCAATTCCCCGATCACGGCCGGGAGCTTCAGGAAACGTGTGAATACCTCGCCTCCAACCTTGGCCATAATCAGGATCACCCCGAGTTGGAAGACGAGGTGAGTTACTGCCTCAAAGACGTTGGACTCACCACCGGAAAACAGCAAGCTATATCCTCAGTGTTCGGGTACTTGGCTGATTTGGCTCGCCGTCTGTGGAGGGTCTTAGAGGTATGAATAGACGAGAAAACAAGGGTGTTTCAACAAGGTGAGATTGCGATTTAAGTAATCGGCAGGGAGTATACCACGCAGTAGGCTAAGCTAAGGGGTAGGCCGCTTTAACTTGACAGCCATATTTGAGCTACCTATCATTTGATTAGAGATTGAGATGATAGAGCTCGACGACCCTCCACATAGCAGGTCGACAGCCCGAATAACCACATACTTGGACTAGCAGTCCTTTCTCCTCCCTCGCGCGTTTGGCGTGGAAGAGAAAGGACTTATTTTTATACGAAAAAATGTCAACCTGGGCAGGCGTAATTTTAGCAGCGGGTAAAGGGTCTCGGATGAAGAGCCGCACCCCCAAGCCTCTGCACCGCATAGCAGGCAGAGAGATGCTCTCCTGGGTCCGGCATGCAGTTTCGGAGACGCGAGTTGGTTCGACAGTCACCGTTGTCGGGCCGGAGTTCCCGGTTGACTGCGGAGATTCTTCCAACGGCGCGAGGCAGGTCGTGCAACGGGAGAGATTGGGAACGGGTCATGCATTGCTCCAAACCGAGGCCCTACTGGCGGGTCGCGCCGACCATGTGCTGGTGTTAAACGGCGACATGCCGCTCATCAGCAGCGATACCCTAAACCTCATGATGGACCGGCACTGGGTGCCGAGGCTGCGCTCACCTTCTTACTTGCGAGGTCGAAGAGCCTGGGCAGATGGGCAGGGTGCGTCCGAGGAGCGCATGAAGAAATTATGGGAGTGGTCGAGTGGCGGGACGCGGGGCCCGAAACCTTAACCTCGAACGAGGTGTGCTGTGGGGCCTATTGCTTCCGCTCCGACTGGCTCTGGCCCGCGCTCCGAGCCCTCCAACCCGCATCGAATGGAGAGTTTTATATCACTGGACTAGTAGAAACCGCTTGCCGCAACGGGTGGCCCGTGGAAGGTGTTGCACCGACTAATTCTTACGAAGCATTGGGCATCAATGATCGCGCAGACTTAGCGCGGGTCACTGCTGTCGTGCTTTGAGAGAACCCGGCAGCATCTTATGGCGGATGGAGTCACCCTCATCGACCCGCCAAGCACCTTCGTAGACGCCACGGTACAGGTGGGCATGGACACCCTTCTGCAACCGGGGGTCATTGTCCAGGGTACAACCCGCATAGGTGTGGGCTGTGACATAGGACCCAATGCAGTAATAAAAGACTCTATCATCGGAGACGAATGCCGCATTCAAGGATCAATTATTGAAGGGAGTTCTCTGGCGCATCGGGTGCAGGTAGGACCGTATTGCCATCTGCGGCCCGGCACCCGACTGGAAGAGGACGTGCACATCGGGAACTACGTGGAAGTGAAGGAGACGGCCGTGGGACGGGGGACGAAGGTAGGGCACTTCAGCTACCTGGGTGACGCCGAAATCGGAGGCTGGCGTGAACATCGGAGCGGGTACCGTTACTTGTAACTACGATGGTTCGGCAAAGCATCGGACTGTAATCGGAGACGGGGCGTTCATAGGGTCGGACTCTATGCTGGTAGCCCCGATAAATATCGGGGCCCGAGCCGTCACCGGCGCCGGGTCCGTGGTGACTAAAGACCTGCCGGAGGGCGCGCTGGCGTTCGGTGTTCCGGCGCGAGAAAAGCCGAGGATGGAAGGCTGCTAGGCTGAACGGAGTCAGATGATAGAAGAGACGCAGCAAGAGGACGGACAAGCGCAAAGGAAGGCGGGCAACGGCCGATCTAGGCCGGGCAACGGGTCTAAGGGCGGGTTTTGGGGCTGGCTCCTGTCCCTGTTCGGACTGGCTCGAAAATCGGGAGAGGATGCCGCTCCGACGTTCGTAGATGAGGAGGGCCAAGCCCAGAGCCTGGAGGAAGATGAGACCCAGATGGTCCGCTCCATCCTGGAGCTGGACAAGACCCTCGCCAGAGAGATTATGGTCCCTCGCATAGACATCGTCGCCTTGGATGCCACGTCCTCGGTTACCGAGCTGGTGCGAACGGTGATAGACGCGGGTGTGAGCCGGATCCCGATCTATGAAAACACCATCGACAACGTAATCGGGGTGGTGTATGCCAAGGACGTGTGCGCTACTGGGGGCAGGCCGAAGATGGGCTAAGCCTGACGCAGATAGCCCGGTCCCCCCACTTCATTCCTGAGACGAAACGGGTGGATGAGCTCCTCCAGGAGTTCAGGAAGAAGCGTGTTCACGTGGCCATCTGTGGTTGACGAATACGGGGGAGTAGCGGGACTGTGAGCCTGGAAGACCTGATGGAGGAAAGTCGGGGGTGAGATAGAGGACGAGTTCGATATCGGCGCACCCGCAGATTGAGACTATAAGTCCCGGTGAAGTTATAATGGACGCCGCGGTCAGCATTGATGACCTGAACGAAGCCCTGTCTTTGGATATCCAAGGCGAAGACTTTGACACCGTGGGGGGATTCATCTTCGACCGCTTGGGCAAGATACCGATCCCCGGAGACGAGATACGTGAGGATGGGTTCCTGGTTTCGGTGCTTACCACTACCGGAAGACGAATACGCAAGGTAAAGATAACCAAGGCTTCTGACCCCAATAACGGGGCTGAAGCCGCGTCCTCGTCTTCCTGAAGCTCGGACCGGAATAGAAAAAGCCCGCTCCGCTCAAAGGCGGGCGGACACTATGAAGGAGGCAAAGCAGTGGGTGACTACAGAATTATTTCATCAGACAACCACATCGTGGAGCCCCCCGACCTTTGGACCGAAAGGCTTCCTGCCGACTTGAAAGAGCGGGGCCCGGTGTACATAACACGCCGGACGGGCCCTTTTGGGTCATAGACGGCATGACCCACTTCAACATCTTTGCCATGGGCGCCCAGCCGGGGGTCAGGCTGGAAGACGGCGGTGAACTAAACCAGGTGGAAGAGTGGGGGGATGTGAGACCGGGTGCGTACATCGGGGAGGAAGCGGTCAAGGACATGGATATAGACGGGTTGGACGTGGGTCTGGTCTACCCGAGCCTCACCATCTTCCTCTACCCATTCGTGGAGGACAGCAACCTGCTGACGGCCATTGATAGGTCATACAATGACTTTGCAGCGGAGTTTTGTCAGGCTAACCCGCGCCGATTGAAGGGTGTGGCGGTCATCAACATAGATGACGTGGAAGACGGTGTGGAGGAGATCAAGCGGTGTGTCAAGAAGGGATTTGTCGGAGCTACGATCCCCGAATACATGGCCGCAAAAAGCTATCGATCCCGCGACTACGACCCACTCTGGGAGTGTGCTCAGGACTTGGGTATCCCCCTCACCTTCCACATCTCGACTGCCAGGGTTCAGGCGGGCCGAGGCTGGGACCGGGACATGCTCGACCCCTTCGACTTTGCCAACTTCCTCCTTCATAACGCCGACTTCTGGGTTCGAGTCTCCCTCACCGAGGTCATTCTAAGCGGCGTATTTGAACGGTTCCCGAATCTGAAGATAGGAGTAGCCGAGCACGAGCTAAGCTGGATACCGTACTGGCTGGAACGTATGGACTTCAGCTACAACGATAGGCCCGCTGGCCGCGACGGATACCGCATTCCCGGCGACCTCCTGCCCAGCGATGTGTTCCACACCAACTGCTTTGCGGACTTCCAGGAGGACGCGCTCGGCATCCAGAACCGGGACATCATAGGAGTGGACAACATCCTCTGGGGATCTGACTACCCTCATTCCGAGGGAACGTGGCCCAAGTCCCGAGAGTTCATCGAAACTACTTTGGCTGACTGCACTGAAGAGGAGAGGGCCAAGCTGGTCGGCGGGAATACGGCCAGGATATACGGGATATAAGCGGAATCCCAGGCTTGAGGGAATAGGGGTGTTGGAGGGCGGATGACAAATCATCGGGGAAACGGCAAGGGTGAGTGGGACGCCATCGTAGTAGGTGGTGGACACAACGGATTGGTCTGCGCCGCCTATATGGGCAAGGCTGGCCTCCGAGTCCTGGTGCTCGAGTCCCGTGAAGTGTTCGGTGGTCCCAGCGGCAGCTTCGAGTTCATGCCCGGCTACACGGCCAGCTTTTCCAACTCTCCCGGCTCCCTGGAGACGCGGGTGGTCGAGGAATTGGACCTGCCCGGTGCCGGCCTCCGTTTCCTCCGCTCCGACCCGACAGTAATTCAGTTCTTCCCCGAACATCCTTTTGTAGTATGGCGGGACATGGCCCGGGTCTGCGCTCAGTTGGACGCCCTGTGCCCCGGCGAAGGAGACCGGTATCGGGGATTTGTCGCCAAGCTGGAGGACTTCGCCACCCGGCTCAGGACGTCGATATTCAAACCTGCGCCTGGCCTGCCTTATATGGCCGCTGGCCTCACCACCGAAGAAGACCGGGACACGTTCGAGCAGGTCTTTCACGGTAGCCTGAGCGAAATCTCTATAGGCACCTCAAGACCAACGAGGCTCGCACGCTCCTCGGACTGCTGGCCTCCAACTCTGGAATGGTTCCCCAGTCTGCGCCGGGCACCGCCTGCGGCCTGATCCTCCGCCCCTTGGCCATGGCATCCGCAGCTTCCCTTCCCAGCGATGACTTCAGGCGGATGCCTCTGAGGGGCTCTACGGGTCACCCCATTGGGGGCATGGGCGCGATCATTGACTCGATAACGGCCCGGTGTCGGGGATTCGGGGGCACACTCAAGCTAAAGACACGGGTGGCGAGGATACTTCACAACGGGGGCCAAGCCCGTGGCGTAGAGTGCGAGAATGGCGCGGTCTACACCGCTCCAATCGTCGTATCGGCAATCAACCCGAAGACTCTGTTCGGCAAGCTGCTCGACGACGAGGCCGTCGGGTCCGAAATGCGTGATGATGTGCAGCGGTTTCCGATGCGCGGGGCGGCGTTCAAGATGGCCTTGGCCCTGGACGGAATTCCCACCTACGCCAACCTGCCCGACGACCTCACGCAGGAACAAGCTTCCACCTGCCAGGTGAGAGTGGCCGCTTCGATGGAGCACATAGAGGAGTCGACGGTTGGGGCCATAGCAGGCTACCCCTCGAAAACACCGATAATCTGGGGTCTGATTCCCTCCGTAGTTTCGCCGGAGCTTACGCCTCCGGGCAAGCACATAATGAGCTGGAACATTTGGCATGCACCCTACAACCTGGCGGAGGGAGTTGGGACGAGGAGAAGGACAAGTTTGCCAAGCGGTGCATAGAAACCGTGTCCCGGTACATGCCCGACCTTCCCGACCACATCATCGACTACCGTAGCTTTAGCCCCGTGGACTGCGAGGCTGAGCTTGGAATCATAGGCTCCAACATCACCCACGGGGAGATGCTGCCCCACAACCTGTTCGGCCCGAGACCACATCGGCTAGCCAATGACTATCGGACACCACTGAAAGGGCTGTATCTCACGGGTGGTGGAGTCTGGCCGGGAGGATTCGTGACTGGAGTGCCGGGCCGGAACACCAGCCAGGCAGTCCTGGCCGATCTTCAAGGTGACCGGGAATCGGCAGCGCCTGTTATGGAGGCTGTGTATAGCTAGGGCGCCCGTTTCGCACACCCGAACGTAGGCCCGAATCCGTAATCTCGCTCCCGGTTGACGGGCTTCTTTACAATAGTCGGCATTGCGGTAAACTTGCGCCGCGCTTTCCTTAACGGAGAGGTGTCCGAGTGGTTTAAGGTGCCGGTCTCGAAAACCGGTGTGCATGTTTCATGCACCGTGGGTTCGAATCCCACCCTCTCCGCCAGCCTCCAATAGGTCCCGACAGTCCTGCATTCCCCGGCCACTGGACGGAGGCCCGATGCCCAGTCCGCCTGCAATCTATGGAGACCCACAACTCCTAAAGAGCACCGCATAAAGCCTATGGCCATAACCTCGCTGATCTCTGCTGATTCCCACGTTGTAGAACCTCCCGACCTCTGGGAGGAGAGGATAGATAGGCGGTTCAAGGATGCCGCTCCCAGGCTCGTGGAGCACGAAGGTACGCACCGTTGGGTGGTCGGGGACGACGTAAACCTCGGCTCCTTGGGAGCGCCGTCCCAGGCAGGCCGCCGATATTCGGGCCTTGCGGGGCTCGGTCTCGCCGCCCGTATGGAAGAGGTCCCGAGGCCGCCTACGACCCTGGCGCAAGGTTGGAGGCCATGGCAGAGGACGGTGTTGAGGCTGAGGTCGTCTACTCGACCATCGGGACCCGCATCTATACTTCGCCCGTCGGCGGAGAGCTGATGTCGGCCTGTTTTCGAGCAATGAACGACTGGTCGGCGGAGTTCGCGGCGCCTACCCTCGGAAGCTCGCTGGTACCGCCCTCATCAATGTCGAAGATTTGGAGGATGCCACTACCGAGCTCGAAAGGTGTCTGCGGCTAGGCTTGCGCGCCGCGGCCATACCTACCCACCCGGGCGACGATGCTCCCTACCGCCTGCCATCCTATGACAGGCTTTGGGCAAGTGCCGAGCACCTCGGCATTCCCACTGGGCATGCACGCCGGCTCCGAGCGCCCGGGGCCCGGCAGGTTCAGCATCGGCGATTTCGTAATGCCGGAGCAGCAATCAGGAGACGCATCCTTCAGGTCCACCTATCACTATTGGGCTATGCGCTCCGTGGCGGACATGGTCTTCGCAGGCGTGTTTGAACGATACCCGAAGCTTCAGCTGGCGGTAGTTGAACATGATGTCGGCTGGGCGCCCCACTTCATACGCCGCATGGACATGACCTATGCCGAGCATGGGTACGTGACGGAAATACGCTTCAAGGACGGAAAGCTCCCGAGTGACTTCATAAGACAGAACGTTCTTTTCACCTTCATGGAGGACCCTGTATTCGTGCCACTACTTTCTATGGTAGGGGTCGATAGGGTAATGTGGGGCTCGGACTACCCCCACCGGGAGTCGACTTGGCCCCGATCAAGGCAGGTGCTGGCTCAAGTGCTGGGAGGACTTCCGGAGCAAGAACAGAGGCGGATCACATATACAAATGCCGCAGAGCTGTATGGCCTGGGCTGATTGTGTTGGAGAGTAATGAGATGATCGAAGTAGAAACATAGAAAAGACATTTGACAATAAGTTCACCCGCGAATTCGGGTTCCCCAAGAAGAGGCCTGCGACCAAGGTCAAGTCTTTCCTCTCTGACAAGGAAAAGGAATTCATCCAACAGTCGCCATTTCTGGTCATGGCCACGAGCGACGCCGATGGCAGCTGCGACGCATCGCCTAAGGGCGGTATGCCCGGCTTCGTAAAGGTCCTGGACGACACTCGCCTGCTCATCCCCGACGTCGCCGGGAACAGGCTGTTCCAGTCCTATCTGAACATGACGGACAATCCCCACGTTGGTCTAATCTTCTTTATCCCGGGCATCGGAGATACGGTGCGCGTGAACGGGACGATGGAATTCGTGAGCAAAGAGGAACTTGCGCGCTTGGAGGTCGAGCTGGAAGTGCACAACCCGGACGACAACTCGAAAGTGCAGCAGGGGATCATGATGAACATTGAAGAGGCATATGGGCATTGTCCCAGGGCCTTGGCCTTCTCCAAGCTCTGGGGTTGAAGGGCGTGGGGCGCTTGTCCGGTAAATGCCGGATGGTCAAGCCAAATCCGAAGAACGTTCGAGGACTGAAATGTCGTTTGCCGAAGTGCTGGGTACCATAGGCGTAAGCATGCTGCTAGTCGGGTTCTTTCTTAACCTGTTCGGCCTCATGAGGCGCAACTCTCTTAAGTACGTTTTGCTGAACCTGTTCGGCGGTGGGCTTGCCTGTACCGCCTCCATCCTGATCGAGTTCTTCCCCTTCGTCATTCTGGAAGGCACCTGGACAGTGGTTGCTCTTGTGGGCCTCGGGAGGCTCCTTCGGGCCCGATCCCAGGCGGCTCAGGCCTGAGCCTTGAGCCCCGAATTTCATCGGTCGCGAATCCCCAGCCGGAGAATAGAGCTATCGGCCTAAAGCGGGAGTTGTACCGTTGACTTCCGCCTACGCAGCACCTGCCACTCCTATCTACCACCCCGATACCGCTGGGTTGTACTCACTCGTGGATGCTTCCTCATCTCTGGAGCTTTGTCTTTCTCTCCAGCCTCGGCTCATGCTCCCCTATATCCGGGAGGAGCTAGGACTGACGGCTTCCAGGAAGGACTTTTGGGAGGCGGCTCCCAGCTTGCCAACATTCTTCTGGCAATCCCCTTTGGGTGGTTCCTTAGCAGGTTCAACCCTAGACTTATTACATCCATTAGCCTCATTTGTGCCGCCGGCATGATCTTCTTTCAGGCCTGGGCCCCGATTTTCCTTTTGCTTCTGCTGGGCAGATTCCTGTTCGGGGTGACCGCCGTCGCTAGAGAGTCTGCGTGGGTGATGCTCGTAAGGCGTTGGGTACCGCCTCGAGAGATTGTCATCGCCAACACCTTGGGCAACTTCATGTGGGGCTTTGTAGCCTTGGGGATCATGGTGGTGCCGCTCCTTATCACCTGGCTCGACGACAGCTGGCGTAACGCATCAAACGTCATTGGCCTATCGTTGCTGGCTCTCTCCATGGGATGGCTCGTGCTGGGCCGGGACGGGAAGCACCTGGACACAGCCGAACAGGGTCCTGTTCACGCATCAATCCCCTGGCTATCGTCAGGCGATACAAGGAGCTGTGGATCCTGGCTGCGGGCATGTTCGGCAACGGCGTTAATTTCACCGGCTTCTCCGTATTCTGGCCGAGTTTCCGGATAGCGGAGTTCGACAATTCCTTATTCGAGGTGTCGGTGGTAATGGGGATTGGTGGTGTCTTCACTTCCATAAGCGGGCTTACTGTCGGTTTGATTGTTAGCCGCAGGGGGTGGAAGAGGAAGGTGCTGATCTTTTCGGGAATTGTGCTGGCGACGACTACAATTGGCACGCTCTGGGTAGGGCCGATATGGGCTTTGGTGTTGCTCTTCGTGGTGCAGAGCGCGGGCTGGACATTCTTCCCATCGGCAACCACCATCCCCTATGAACTGCCTGGCATCAAGCCCCGGGAGACCGTAGTGGCCATCTCAGCATTGTTTATGTCCCTGTGGGGGGGATCGTTCGTGGGCCCGATTCTGTCTGGGCTAGTTCAAGACTCTACCGGCGACCTGAGGCTTGCGCTGGTTATAACCAGCCTGGGGCCCCTGTTAATGACCATCGGGGCTCTATTCCTTTCGAAGAAATGGGACTTGCCTCCTTCCTACGAACGAACCCCACCCGACACCGCAAAACGCGCCCATTAGCTTACCTTGGCCATCACGTCCTTGGCGAAGGACTCGACCTGCTCCATCATTTCGGGGATGGTGTCACCGGCGATGTGCAACGCGTTGACGTGGTCGAAACCCTGCTCCTTAAGCCCCCCGACCTTCTCGATCACCTCATCCACAGTCCCGATCCAGTTCTGCTCGACGATTGTCTCTAGGGGAACTCCCCTTGCGAGGCGCATCATCCCCTGACGGCTGGTGCGGTAGTGCTCAACCGCTTCCTCGTGGGTGGCGCCCAGACTCAACTCTCCTTCGGCTACTACGTTAATCTCATCCAGGCTCCGGCCTTGCTCTTCGAGGAGAGGTTCCAGAGCCTCGATGGCGCTTCTGCCCGCCGAGGCCTGGGTAAACAGCCCGTTGCCCCACCGTGCGATGCGGTTAAGGGCGTCGGGGTTCCGGCCGGGGGCGTAGATGGGAAGGGGGTTCTGGACGGGCTTGGGAAATACCTCCACGTCCCGGAACTCTACGTACTTACCGGAATAGCTGACTGTCGTTCGGAGTGCCCGAGGAGCCGGTGTAAGGCCTCCATCTTCTCGTCCAGCATGCGGCCCCGGTGTACCGGCGCATTCTGGGTTGGATCATTTCGTACTCGCCCGGTTCCCGAGCCCTATTCCCAAGGACACTCTGCCGTTGCTGAAGTGGTCCAGTGTCGTGATCTGCCGGGCCAGAGATTATCGGGTCCCGATAGGGGAGCAGCACGACACCTGTCCCCAGGACAATCCGCTCAGTAACTGCGGCGAGATAGGAGAGGGAGACGATGAGCTCGTACCAGTTGGGGGGATCAGCGTCTTCGACTGGCGCTACGCCGGGGGCGAGGGTCATGAAGTCGGTGCCCCAGACGGTGTGATACCCGAGCTTCTCGGCGTCCTGGACTATCTTCACTATCTCTTGGGGCCCGGCGAAAGGGAATCGGAACGAAGACCGATTCTCGGCTGGTTGGTATCTCCATGTCGTACTTCAGGGTTGTGTCACCTCCATAAGGGATGGCGGAAAGGCTCAGGGGATGGGGTTGGATGAAGTGTATCACGCAACCAGGGGGAGGGGACGGTGTTTATTCAGTTGGGGTTTGGGGTTCCGTTTTGTTTGTAGGGGGCAGCAGGATGAGACCGAAGTCCGAGCTGAAGAGAGAGCCGTCGGCACCGGGCTGGACTATCCCCACATGTTGTCGGCTGCGGTCAGGGTTGTGTGGGGCTGATCCCACCGGCAGCGGCACATGACCGGACCGCTGACGGGGAAGATGCCGCCTGAGGCGGACTTTCATAACCGGCGTCCCGGTGCATCCGCCGGGTAGACGGATGGCGGGG